CGGAATCAAGGTTTATTTTCGGTTTATTTTCGGAATGCCTCATTTCCAGTTTATTATCACTTTCTGGTCCACGTGTGATAAATGTTGTATCATATAGAGTGATAATGGAGTGGGCTGGGTTAGCAGACTCCTTCTTCTAATATTTACATTACAAACGCATGATTAGGAATTCTAGCTACTTAAGATTTATTTGTTGTCCACATTCTCTAGAAGCCAAACCTCCTCTATTAAAAGAGGAAAAAGGAGAGCACGGCTGTCAACTGTTCTCATGTGGAGTGCTCTGAAACTTAAGCCCCATTTGTATCTGTAATGAAAAACTGGATATATCCCATCATTTAAAAAAATATATATTTATTTTGATTATTTAAAAAGCACAACAAAATACAAGCAACTACCAGGAAAGTACATTGAAAATGGTTGACAATGAAAGAACATATGCTATTGCAAGTACTGTATATGCAAGTATGGTAACTGATATAATAATATAGCATTTCCCTCTTTCCTTTCCTTTTGTCAGCTGATAATATCATTTCAAAGCACAGACCATAGTCCATAGATCAGTGATGGCGAATCTTTTAGGCACTGACTGCCCAAACTAAATGGCCTTCTGGCACCGGAGTTACGCTGTGCCAGAGGCAGGACCTCTGGGGGAAAGGGACTTCTTGAACGGGATCTCCACCCTATGGGGGTAGGACTCCTCGCCCTCTTACCTTCCCAGGCCCAGGATAAGGAGGAACATGCGCACAGCTTTTCCTCCTTTTCCCTGCTTTGTGTGCCAGGGAAAATGGATTTGCGTGTCATCTCTGGCACGTGTGCCATAGGTTCGCCAATACAGCCATATATGCACAGGCCATATTTGAGACAAATTTAAATGCCCCATGTGCCTAAGGGAAATAAAAGGAAAGCAAGTTTCTATACATAAAGTACTTTGTGTGACTTCTTATGTTTACCTATTTTGTTATTAATAGAAATATATCTCCACAGATACTACTTGGGATTGAGTAATCAAATGGCAATACAGCATGATCAAACTCTAGGGAGAAAAAAGAATAAATTGCTAAAAGCATTTTTTAAAAAAAAAAAAAAAACCCAAAAGCTTTAAATGATTTAAAAAAACCAAAAGCATTCTACCAAGCACTGAAAAAAAACAGTAATTGTGATTTTTCTTAAAAGACCACGCTAGCTCTGCAAGTCATCCCCAAGAGAAAAAGGGGTGGAGAAAAAGGTGTAATGCTGGTAATATTTTCTGCTAGACAAAGAGCAGGAGTCTCTATTGACAGGGAGTAAGTAAGCCTTTGAAGATGAAACAAAACCACAGATCTATCTATATGAAACATATATATATATATATATATATATATATATATATATATATATATATATATATATATATATATATATAAGAGCAACTGTTTTATAGTTTTATGATGTATATGAAAAGTAAATAAAAAATAACCCCTTGACCCAAAAGTTTGTTAAGAAAGCAAAAAGAAAAACCAGCTGATATGGCAAATAATGTAAATGCAAAGTCTATCCAAGGAAATGAAGTCTGTATCAATATACTTCACCTCAATAGCAAATGGGTCTTTTTTCTCTCATCTTTCTTTCTGCTAGTTCATAAAGAGTCTTATATTTATGCTTCAGTGTCAGATGAATAATTTTCCAGTGCTTTGTGTTATGCTGAATTGTTTTATTGAGTGCATTTTGGTCCAGATCATGATTTGCTGTGTACTGAAACCCGGAGCATTGCTGTAAATGAAAAATAATGGTGGAAGGAAATCCATAACACATGCAAATGAGTCACAATGAATTTATTTAAATTATTTATTTCCTGCCTGAGTGCTTGAGGGACCAATACAGTTATAAGATAAATTCTAAAGAACTGAAAGAACAAGAAAATAGCACCAAATAAAACTAGCTGGTTGAACAGAAGGCTAACAGGAACAGCACCTTAGCTGAACACTAATGAAGAACAGGAATTGTTGGCCTCCAAAGGAGGAAAATCTTTCCACAGTCTTGAGCAGGGGTAGGCAACCTTTTTGAGCTGGGGGCTGAGTTGCTGTCGCTCAGATAATTGGGGGGC